AGAGGGAGAAGGGATTGACATCTGAAGCAAGCTTGTTCCTAATTTGAAAAAAAAAAGAGCCATTGTACCAAGCACACCAAAGAAATTAGTCCTGTCACAATCATGTAAAATATGAGAGGTCTATCATAGTACTAAGTTGAACCTTAAGAAAAGTTAATTAATTTTCTGAGATAGGGTGTCATTAAGTCTTCCAGGCTCGCCTTAAGCTCTTGAATTTATGAGTCTCCTGCTTCAGTCTCCTAAGAAATGCAACTAGAGGTTCAGGTCAATGAACTTGGCCAATATAATTACTAAATGTACCCCCAAAGGTAGAAAATCTCACTGTGATATCTAAGATAAACAGGAGGATGTACTGCAAAAATAATTGTCATGGTGCAATTAGAAAACATCTAAATTATATACAATTTCTATTGTAACCAAGTCACAATTTTCAAGTTGATCTCTGCCCTGACTATGTATCAAAATTCCATAATGGGAAAGGGACATATTTACACTTTGATTGCTAGCCATGCTGAAAACTGTGCAGTTTCTTTAATTAGGAAGCCAGAGGAATGCACAGCACTATGAAGGTGAAGCTGCCATATTTTAAAGCGAGCTGGTAGGGAGGTAGTTGTGCACCATCAAGCTTTTACTGACCACTGGATGAGATGACATCTGAAAGGCTCTACTAAATCCATAAATATGAGATTTTGTTCACATTTACAAAGCCTTTCTTTCATTTTATCAGGAATTCTGCTGTCTCTGTACCTTACAAGAAACCTAGCAAAAAACCATGCTTCCAAAAAGTGAATGGATCTATGCAGATTTAAGAATCAGAGGTGGATCTAGTCCAAACCTTCTGCTTCATGCTCATTCACACTCTCTCCCATGCTTCCCCATGGATTCACATTACCCTCAGTCAGTATTTCTGCTCCAGTCTCCTGAGTGCTGAGATTATAAGCCAATAATTCCCTCTAAAATGTAAATTATCATTAGAAAAGGCTCAACCACGAGAGTACTTTGCACATTTTTCTGTAAACTAGGAAGTTAATATTACTACCCCTTGAAAGGGCAAAGATCCCCTGAACAAAAGCAGTAATTGTCAACCTATAAGCTAAAATATTTAGACACAGGGGTAAGTGTAATTTTTGCAGAATACTTTAAAGGACTGCTCACTTAAACAGAGTTAAATTAATAACAATTAGTTGTTAATTCTCTTTCACTGGTTTAGAGCTAAACTGCCAACTGTTTAGTGTAATGGGTGTGGATTCTGTCATTAAATAAAACATTTAAAAGCATTTTTAAAGTAGGATTATTTCTATGGGCCCAGAGGGCATTTCCCCTGTCACATGACTCCTAAAAAGGAGGAACAAATGACTTCCTTTGCTTTACAAAAGAAGGGTCTACAGTGGCCAGACCTACAGGATTAAATCTGACAGTTACTAGCTCCTAGTAGCAGTCAGAATTGGATACCCCTGACATAGAGCAAGGCTGGGAGCATGATGAGTGTAGGAAACAGGAAATGGATTGTCCCTAAAACTCAGAATTCATTAGAGTAAAAAAATCTAAAGATGATGTATCCCTTTAATTCATAGAGAAACCCACCAAAGACATAGAAGATTGAGTTGAGTTCAGAAAGACACCAATATTTAGGTTTAAAAGTTCCAAAAATATATATTATTTCACACTGTTTTTCATTAGTAAGAAGTCGGAGATTACTTTTTAAAGGCACATTTTATTATTTATGTGTATGGATTTAGGTGTCTGTCTGTGGGTATGTAGACATGACAGAATGTGCTTAGAGTTCAGAAGAGGCATTGGATTGCTCTAGAGCTTTAGGTACATACAGGTGGTTACGGGAAGCCTGACATATGTCCTCTGGAAGAGCAGCAAGCCCATAGCTGCTGCGCCATCTCCCCAGTCCCGAGTTTAAACAAATTTTTTAAATTAAAAACAAACAAACAAAAAAACAAAAAAACAACCTGGCTTTCCTAAGGTTTAAGCCAACAAGGTTGTAACTAGAGTCCCCCAAGGAAAGCTCACAAGTAAAGTACTTACAGACATTCCTGTTATACTCCTTCGCTAGTGGGGAAGACACACTTACCGAGACTCAGTAAGTTCTCTGCCTCTTTTTGGGTTCTTCTCGTGGCGAGTCTGCCAGCATGACTTTCAGTCGGACTCCATTCAGAATTTTCCCATGCAGGGTTGAGATTGCATCGTTGGCGCTCATTCTATCTGCATACTTGACGTAGCCCACATTTTTTCCTGACACAAGGTAAACTTCTATCAGGTTACCAAAACGACTGGAACAAAGTAAAAAAAACAAAGAAAGCATCAGAGACAGATGGATGCTCTCAGTACATTCTAAACACGGGTCTAGATTCTTTCCCAATGCCTGTCTATGGCCAACATCTAACTGCTTGCCAGGTACTGCGAAACAGCTCCTTCAGCTATTCTCTTAGCTCTCCAGGCCTCCTTCCTCACCAACCGCATCTTTATCTGTTCCTCCCTCTAACAATAGTCTCACCTCACCTCCCAAGTAAGAATGAACTTAGCTTACAGGACAGTCACTGGCTTCTCCAGCTTTGGACACCCCCCCCCACACACACACACACAATCTCTAAGTCTGCTTCCAAACAATCTCTTTTTATATTCCTCTGGCAGGAAAACAAACAAAACCTCCAAAACTCAAACTACACTCTGAAAGGTTCAGGCATTATTCTGGCCTGCCCCTGTTACCTGGTGGAATCCACTCAGGCAATACCCTGGTCAGCCCAAGGTTCCATGGGAAAGAAGTCTGCACGCAGGTGCAGAGGACCCCTTTAAAAGATAAGCCACTGACTCTTTCCGCTCTCTCTGTCTCTCTCTCTCTGTGTGCTCCCCCGTCTCTGTTTCCCCGCTCTGTCTCTCTATGGCGACCGGCCATGGCGGTCAGCCATTTACCCCTGTTCCTCTTCTTAGTCTCCCCATTCGGGCCTTATAATAAACTTATAGTCTTAAGTCTCATGTCTCAGAAATTTCTCTTTTCTTCTTTTTAAACAAAACAATAACACACCCCAACCTTCTCCTCTGGCAAAACTAGGTTTATCCTGCAGGTCCTATCAAAACCTTGCTTAAAAGAGAAATCTCAGAATTTCTGTGGTACCACTGCTGCTCTGTATACTTAATGTCTTGTTAATGTAATAAACAGTTTTGTTTATATCATACTTTAGCACTCCAGCCCAGTGGCTGCCTAGCACAGAGAAGTAGCTCAAGAGCAAAATAAAACAAAACCTTTAGCTAAATTAATCAGTTATATAAAGGCCAGCATACTATCACCACACGCCTGATATTCTGAGTGGATATTTAACATGTTTCTAACTTGCTTAACTCATTAATATTCTTAGTAGGCAAAAGGAAAATGTCAAAACAAAAACAAAAACCAAAACCCCAAAACAAAAAAAACCAAAAAACAAAACAAACAAAAACCAGGTAGGGTTAAAAAAAAAAAAAAAAAAAAAAAGCTAGGGTAGTCATAAAAAGTTATATTAAAATAAAAAATAGGTAAAATTTTTTCCTCCTCTTTCCTTTATATTATCCCCTATAGCCAAGTGATTTGCTCTATTTGACATAATCCTCAGGATCTAACCGAGTGCCAGGCAAATGTAAGGCATTTAGTAAACTGTTGGACTGTATTACGACATGAAGGAAATGGAATGTGAAGACAGGTTTATGTAAATGGATCTACTCCTAAGAGACAAGTGATTTGTCATTCCACACCTGCAGCTTTTAAAAACCATCCTGCATGTCTTATGTCTCAAAACACAAAAGCAAACACAACAACAAACCTGGGAAATTCTGTGTAGAGGTTAGGATATGTGCCTGACAAGGGAAATGACCATAAATTGAAAAGATCAATAAGGAGTCTTGCAAACCTCAGAACAGGTCATCTCTCAGTGGCAGGATCATGAGGATGGCGGTTCCTTGCTTAAGTGCATTGTTTACAGCTACCAAGGTGTAGCTTTGTAGAAGTGAATCTTACCAGAATATATCCTCCAACACGTCTAATGGTAATGGATGAGGGTTAAACACGATAAAAAGTCTTTCTTTCACAGGCGTTTCGGGAGGGGCTTTCTTTTTGCAGGATGGAAGTACAACATCTGTCTGGATTTGAGGCAACTGTGACCCAGAACTTCCTCCAAATTGCTGTGGAAGAGTTAGGCACAAAGGGAGAGAGATAAGATTGTTCTTCAGGGACTTGGAGCCAACAGCTGAAAGTGTGTCCCAGCACCCATGTGGTCTTTTACAACAGCTATGAAAATGTTCTTTCTTCAGTAATCAACAAATGCCGTATTATTTGTTTCCTGTATTACAGAGGTCACACTTTTACCTACTTACCAGAAACTGCTGCTGCTGACTTGGGTTACTCCACACCATTGATGCGAGCTGGGACGCCACCATCTGTGTGGCCATTTTTCTGATGAGACTGGAAACAACAATCGACAACTTACAGAAAATTAGAAATATTCAGCATCTTAATAGTAGTTTGTTGGAAATGACTTGCTCACCTGAGGTTAACTGTTTATTTTTATTCTTCAAGCCACAGCTTGGCTAGGACATTCCTGGAATGGTACTTACTCTGCCGAATTACTTCCGTCATCCAGGAAGGAAACACCTATCCGATTCCCAGGGGGGTACTGGAATCCATGCAATTTGTATTTTGCATAAACAGCAGATGCTACATTAAAATACTGAACCACACCATGACCTATACAGAAATGGAAAAGGCAGTAGATGGAGGTGTCTTTAAGGCCTGAGTTATAATGTACTTGAAGGCAAAAAATACTGAACTTTGGTTATTATCACACAACTAGCAAATACAAAATCAAAGAGCAGAGAACAAAGCTCTGTTAAGTACAGACACAACATTATTTGTAGGCAGTGAAGTGTAAGTCAAATCTTGGTAAAACAGAAACATAGTACTTTATGAAAATGTAGTATCAGCATATATTCCATCTAATGAATTGAATTTTAAGATTCCCCCCCCCATCCCTTTTTCTTAGCGGGATCTCACTATATAGACCAAGCCATTGGCCTTTAACTTGCAATTCCACTACCTCTGCGTCCCAGTGAGGACTGGGACTACAGGCACTCACCACCAGGCCCAGCTTAAATTTTCTTACAGAACATCAATATACACAAAAACTGAAACTCTTAATTCTTTGAAATTGGGAGTTTTCCCTACTATACTGTATACTCAGTAGTTGGAAGAGCGGAGGAGGTGGTACATAGGAAAAACAGCAGGATGGTGACAGGGTCTTAGGCTGCAAGTTGCCCATTTCACATTCCTTTGTTAAGATTCCAGCTCTGGGGATAGCTTTCAATTAAAGAGGCGGCCCTGAGGGGTGGGGAGGTTTTATCTTTGAGCCTAGGAGCCTGTGACACAACCAGAAGGTTTTCATAACCCACTTTGGGGAAAAACACAAAATCATATTCTTGTGTAAATCAAATTGTATGTACAGATTACTTTTTATTATCAACTTGACACAACATAGAGTCACCTGGGGAGGGGGAACCTCAGCTAAGGTACTGCCTGGCTCAGAATACTTACTGACATGCCAGTGGGGAATGTCTTGGTTGTAACTAATACACATTGCTTCTACTGCAAATCTGAGAATGCACAGAGATGCAGAGCACTTAAAAGGCAAGACAGTTTAAGAAAAAGACTTGCAGATGAATGAGCAAGAAACGGCAAGCATTTTATAATTTTGCTAGCATTAATCCAAAGGGAAAAAACAGACCCTAGCCCGAGGCACTGTTGTTGTACAATGCGATATAGAGTCCTTTATTTTGTGAGTTATTTTTAGGTGAATGGCATTTATAAGGAATGTATTTATTTATACATTCTTGGGAATTTATTTATTAAGGTATCTTTGGATTTTAAATATAAGGTAGGAAAAAAGGAACAGGAGAGGGTAATAGGTAGCAATGAGCTTAAAGTACATGATATACCTGAACAAAATGGCATTGTAAAAATAATCACTGTACAAGCAACATGTTTGTTATCAAAAGAATTAAAAAAACTAGAAAACATAAAATATAAACTTCCTGCAACATAAACAGTATAAGGATGTGTCATGGGTAAAAACTACTTTAATAAAACACAGTAAACTTAACAGCAAAACAATTATTTTACCATAATTCGAATAAGGATCTCGCTGAACCTCACAATACTCCAGTCCTGGGACTATGTCAAAAATGCTGAAGAGCTGTTCTTCCGTGAAGGGGACTCTTGAGACAACTGACAGGCGTTTAGAGATAGCTTCCTGACTTCTGCTGTCACTCTTGTCAAAACTTGAAAATTCAGATTGTTGTTCCCCAACTATATACATACATACATACACACACACACACACACACAAAAGTAAATCATACATTAAAAATTCATGTAAACATTTTGTAAAGGATATTTAAAATGTACTATACTGAACAAAGACACTGTATTTTGTTGTATTCTTTTTAGAAATACATTTTTAATTTATCTCTGAGAATTTCATACATGTATCCAATGTGTTTTGATCACATCTATCGCCCCTACTTTGCAGTACTGTAGTAGTCTACAAGCATAAAGAAGCAATGACAAGAAAACACCTTCACCCACTCCTTACTAAACTTCAACACAGAACTACAGAAATGTCTAGTTAAATACCACAGGAAGGAGTTGAGTATATAAAACTGTAAAACATGGCAGGAATTTTATCTGAAAAGCTAAGCCAATGACATCCAGGCACCTTGATTTCACCATTTCCCCTCACCCTTTTCTAGCATCTACTTTTGCTATTCTCCTCTCTGTAAACCAAACTTTAAGGTAGCATACTGAAGGGATATTTGTGTAAAAATTTTATGCTTTTGGTTGGCTGCACAAAAGCAGAATTCACACACATGCAAAGGTAGTAGACACACAGGATAGTTTGTAGATAATGTGCAGCTAGCCAGAGACATCTATACTGGAAATAAGTTGAACAAAATAAGGGTTAAGTATTAAGGATATTAGAAGTACTGACCAACTTCCCAGGAAAAAACAAAACAAATCTTGCATGTAAGATTTTCATTCATTAGGAAAGATTTTTCAAGTTGCTGACAAAAAATTAAATTGGATCACATATACTTACCATGCTGCTAATGTAAAGATAAAGGCGGTCTACTCACCGAAGGGAAACAGATTTACTCTCGGTTCATGCCCCAAAGCCTCTTGCCTCATGCTACTGTAATAATCTTGTTCTGGGGACTCAGGTACTTTATTTTTAGGTTCAGCCAAGAGTGCTCTGAAACCTGAAAATGAGAAGCCATGAATTTTCAAGTTTCATAGCAAATTTAACATATTTGGTTTTAAGGGTCTGACCTGGTTTCAGAAATATAACTATACAAAACAGCCTCTACATGGTGACCATTTTCATCAGACCTACTTCTTTGTTTCATGGTAAAGGACAAATAAATAAAATAAAATATATAAATGAGAACAGAAAAACAAACCAAGAACCCCCAAGTAAAGATCAACTAATACAGAAAAGAAAGGTCAGCCATGCTGTGCCATCCTCCCAAAAGATGGTATTACCTATTTTCCCAGTTTCCTTAGGATCAAAACTCCACTGGGCATCTTCACATTTAGCCTATTACCAACCTGCTTCCTTTATATGTGCTTAGCATGTTTTCTTGCAAGCTAACTTCTCTGCCTGTTTTTAAGTTACATCTTCAGTTAATCACGGAAGCTCTGTAACCAGTCCCCTTGTTCTAGATCAAGAGTTCATACTTAGGGGTCTAAGGATTAGCTTCAGAAAGTGGAAGAGGGCGAGGGAGGAGTCAGGTCAGTGAGTCAAGTGCTCCCCATGCAAGCATGGGTATCTAACTGCAGATCTCCAACACCCACACAGAAAGCCACATGAGGCCAGGCATGTCTGTAATTCCAGCATTGGGGAGGTAGAGGAGGAGATCAGGCTAGACAACTGGTGAGCTCCAGGTTTAGTGAGAACCACCTCCACAAAAAAACAAGGTCGGTAAGCCAGTATCTTGCCTTCATGTGCACCCTCCCCAGACCCCTACACAAAATGGGAAGGTTCTACAAACCTTCTAAATCAAAATGCTTAACCATACTATGTATACATAGGTATATTTCAAGGACTCATAGCATTCATATTATTCAACAGCTGCAAACATGATAAACGAGCTGCCTTGAACTCATTCAATATTTATGGAGGGACTATGACTGTATGAGGGATTTGGAAGTGATGGAAAACAAGAGGTCTTGTTTTCGACCTTTAAAAATGTTCTCTTAGTCTTTATTTTCTAGGTCTTAGATAGTCAATATAGAAGATACAAAATTCAATGCCAGGGCTACCAGATACCTCATTTATATCTTCCTCTTAGCATACTGAGGAGCATACCACAGGGAGTCAGTTAAGACTGACTGGGAAATTTAGAAGGACCTAAGAAGAAAATTGCGTGTGGAATTTAGAGGCACCTAAGAATTCTACTGATCAACAGCAACTCTTTCCTGTATATACAGATTTTTATAACAGTCTAAATCCCAGTAACTTACTATACCTTTTATTTCTCAAAATCAACTTTAGGTATAAAGTCAAAGTGTCCAATAATTTGTCACTATAGCTTCAAATAAATTACCTGTGATAGCAAATCTCACCAGCCCTACCCTTAATTTGTATGTTAGTCAGAATACTAAATCCCAGTTAGGGCTTTGTTCAAATAGGAACAAACACAAAGAATAAGATTTGTTGGGCATGGTGGCATATGCCTATAAAGCCAGCACTTAGGAGGCTGAGGCAGGAGGATCAAGTTCAAGGCCAAGCTGGGCTATAATAGCAAGACTCTGTCTTAAGAAAAACACAACAAAAAATATTTTTTAAAGCCTAAAATGTAAATCAATTTTTAGTACTTAAAATTACAGAGTATTTTTTAAAGTCCCAACCCTATTCAAATAACAAGCCAAGTATGCCCCCTGCTTATGTGATAACTCAGTTCATCTTGACAACTCAGTCACCAAGATGGCTTCAGCACATGGCTAGTTCATAAGTCCAAAACATTTCCATCCTTCAGTCATATATTTATAATTCAAATATCATATATTTACTCACTACTTACTTAACTTTAGCAAAAATCTAGTAATAGACCCTTTTATTTAAAATAATGAGAATTCTTTTCCAAAAGGCCCGTTAGCAAGGATAAAAAACAAACACTTCTGGAAACAGAAAGATGGCTCAGTGGTTAGGAACATGTGTTGCTCTTCCAGAGGACCTCGTTTCCCTTCCCAGTACCCACACAGTGGCTCACAACCACCGGTAACTCCAGTTCCAGGAGATCTGATCTCGTCCTCTGGCCTCTGGCCTCTGTAGGCACTGCATCCATGTGAGACACAGATGTACATTCAGGCACAACAATCACACACATAAAACAAAACTTAAAAAAAAACCTCTTACTTCTATCACAGTTTTCTATTGCTTGGGCGGCTTGTGATGGTTTTAAATATCGCACGTAGCCCAGACCTTTACTTTCTCCAGTGACTTTATTTTTAATAATGCTGCAATACTCGATGTCACCATACACCTACAAGAGTTAAAGCCAAATTTTAGGACAAAACCACTTGGAGGAAAAACCTTTCCGTGAATGAGTACAATGTCAACATAGCACAGGCCATGGTAAGTATTAGTCAACATAGCTTACCTGCTCCAGCCTGACTCAGGCCTGCGACTCACTCTACAGAGAGGCAAGAGAAATGAGAACCAAGAAGTGCTTTGAGATTTTTAAAGACCCAGGGCAGGTTCTGGGGGCACAGCAGGTTTAAATCTTGGCACCACCACCTATTAGCTGTGTGGTTTTAATGAAAACACCCTGGCTTTGTACTTTACTTTCTCAGCCTATACTTTAGGATGAAGTCTGGGCAGAGGGGACACTCACTACTACTGCGAGTTGTTAGTAACTGTACAGTGTTGAAAATGGAGTTGTGATAAGAACACACACACCTTAAATTTCTCCCGTAGGTCTTCCTCTGTATAGGACTTTGGTATCATAACGAAGATTCTTGTGAGTTCTTCATCTTCAACATCTCTGTGACTTCCTGATGATCGGGACTGAGCAATGAAAACCTAAGAAACATACAAAGCCCTCAGAATAATGTTAACTGTACTCCTATACTGTACTCCCTGCACTCAGGAAGTCAGGCAAGCAGATCTTAAGTTCAAAGCCAGCATAGTCTACATGGGAAGACCCTGTTCCCCCCAAAAGAAGATACTATAAAACAAAAACAAACCAAAATGCAACTAACAACTGGGGTATTAGTATAAATGACTAAGTCAATCTAGTCGATGCATCAGGAATTAAGTATCCAAAGGAAGACACAAGAGAGGCTCCAAGAAAATGCAAACATTAGAGGAAAAAAAGGGGCCACGGGGAAAATGAGATCAGAGGAGCCATCAGATCATAGATGTCTAAATTTTAGAGTTTAAACTGTTTACAATCTTTGATAAAGGCTTGGATCTACACAAGACATGAATCACTACTTGTTCGCCTTGTTTTCACACGGTTTAACTCCTTCCCTATCTGATACACAGCATCCTGGTGCAGAAGTGGGAGAGACTCCAACCCAGCCAATTCTTGTAAAACCAACGCCAGAACTCCCCCAACCCCTGAAACGTTTGCCCCTCTCTAGTTTGTAGCATAGCTTGTCACAAAATAATTTTACTTTGATAATCTTGTGAGTACAGGCTGGTACTGTAATATCCCTTGAACTTTGTAAAAATAAAATACTTGAGAAAAAAAAAAAACACTAAAACTAAATTATCTAGTAGCAAAGGTTAATCAAAGTGTCCGAGAGAGGTGGGTCAGAAACGTTCTCCCAATAGACAGGAAGAGGTAGGGGTCAACTGAATTATGGTAAGTGACAGCCATGGATGGCTGCGCTGTCCTTGGCTGTGGCTACCCAATCTGTTCCCAGGGGAAGATGCTCCTTTGGCCACAGGGCGGGGTTCCTCTCCTCCTAGCCATTCCAGACCCATGCATGGGCGGGGTTCCTCTCCTCCTCTCCTCCTGGGAGCAGATTCCAACTCCTTTACTACCTGATACACATCATCCCGGGTGCAGCAAAGGTGCGGGAAGAGACCCTAACCCACACCGTCTTAGCCTCCGCTGACACCCCAACCCCTGGCACCTCTACCCGAGACAACCCCAACCCGGGCACCCTTATCCCAGACACTCTGACCCGGGCATCCCTACCCCAGCTACCCCAACCCGGGTACCGTCACCCAAGACCCCCCAAACCGAGCATCTCTACCTCACACACCCTAACGTAGGCACCCCAGTGCAGCACCTTGATGGGCTTGGTGTCATTGGGGCCAAGGCACTGTCCGTGCATCTCCTCCATAGCCCGGCAGGCCTGTGAGCTTCGGGCGAACTTGACGAAGGCGACGCCCTTGGACTCCTTGGTGTGTTTGTCGCGCACCACCCAGATGTCCTGGATGTCTCCAAAGGGCGAGAAGCGCTCCCTCAGCACCGATTCGGACGTGTACTTGCTGATCACCAGGAAGATGCGGCTGTTGGGCGGCTCGTCCAGGCTGTCCACGCCGGGGCGGAAGCCTCCGCTGCCCGCGGAGCTGCTGGAGTCCTCCATGGTGCTCCACCTTGGGGAGGGAGCCAGGCGCGGGGCTCCGCCGGCTCA